TAATCATTGATATTATTATTATATTATTTATTATTTTTTTAAATATAATGTGTTTGGCCACGTCCAGTGAGGATAGAGTAATTTTTTATCGTCAATTTTGGATTACTATATTTATCCTATTTATGGACATAAAATTCCCTAAATATTGTAACTTTTTTTTATAAAAAGAATAAGTAAAAAATATGACATTTTAAAAATAAATGAGAAAGTACTCAGTAAACAAAACAAACGAAAGGCAAATGGAAAAATGATATAAGGGAAAAATCATAAGAACTTACATACAATTAAGATTTAATTGTTGTACGAATAAAATTTCATTTTACTATCAGTGAAAATTGTAGTGACCTCCTTTGAGATCTTTTTAGATTAAATGTATCTTTTTTAATTTTTAAAATAAATATTAAAAAATTATTTATTTATTTAAATAATACATATTTTTATATATAAGATAATATTATTTATGTACTATTAAGAAAGAATAAATTATTAATATAAGTGCTAATAATTAATGAAACTTAATCTTTTACTTAATTTTAACTTCTAAATTATATTATAAATATTATGTGCATTATGATTTAAAAAATATATCAACTGTATTAAGTAATTTTAAAGAACAAATTAAGAAATTATTAATTTCAAAATTGAAGAATAATAAGTTTTTTTATAAAAAGAATAGCATTCTACATAATTCAAAAATATATAATAAATGTATATATGATTGACAGAATACGACTTAACATTTCTTTTTTTTCTTTTTTTTATTTTAACTTATGATATTATTTTAAGTGAGGTAAGTGATTTAAAAAAAATAGAAAAGATATGTGTGTTATTTAAACATACTTCAGAGGAAGGTAAATGTAATTTTCCCTTGCTATTAATATTTTCGCTGTTTCTTTATTTATTTTCCATTTTGTTTTATTTCTTTCTGATTTTTCCCTGCCTGCATTTGTTATGTTTATATTCTGATATAGACATATCATTTGGTAACATCTGCAGATTGTAGTAACCTCGACCTGGGAATTGTTGTGGCTGGAGCAGAACATCTACAACCACTTGGCAGTAAGTTTTTTAAATGATTTAGTTCCTATTCTTATATTTGAAAATTATTTAATTTTAATTAGTGACAACATTTGGACATGTTAATTACCAATACTAATGGAGATATAACATTTTAGCTAGGTTTTCTCTAGCTAATTATTTTCAAGTTATTGTAATTATCTTTTATGTTTTTAGTTTAGGGATGAAACTTCGAGCACATTTATACGTTGGATTAAATCTCAAGTCGAAAAAAAAAATTACATTGCATGGTGACAATTGATCTAAATACAATACGTTTACTTGTCGACAAAGTGTGACTGACATTAGTAAATTACCTTATTTTTTAAGCGTGTGCTTAGGAGTTGGATTCTTAGTTAGGAATAATAATAAACACGAGCGAAAAAAAAAACTAAAATGAATTGAACATTTAATAATAAAAAAACTAAATTGAACAAATTAAATAAAAAAAACTTAAATATTTTTTATTCTCTTAAATTTAAGATAAATATGTTTTGAATCTCTCAAATTTAAAATTAATTTTTTAGTTCTTATAATTCAAAACATATTTTAATTCTTATACTCAATTTTTTTTAGAAAATTTGTCAAATATTATTGTAACAAATCTATTATAAGTATCTTTGTTGGTGAAAATATAATATTAAACCTAGCTGATATTGTATAATTATCTTAATTTATCACTTTCAGGTATATTATTAGTGATTAGAGGAACTAAAATAAAATTTTTTAAAATTACATAGACTAAAAAAATAGTTTTTAAATTTGAGGAACTAAAAAAAATTACCTTAAATTTGAAGGACTAAAAACATATTTAAACTTAAAAAAAGATAAAAAGATTAATTTAGCCAAAGATTTTAATTATTCAAATAAAAGGTAAAATATAAAATATTTAATATCTAATAAAAAGTAAAACTATATATTGAATACAACAAATTTTAATTATTTTTAAAGCTATTATATATATATATAAGGCATTTTTTGGTTCTTACCGGATTAACACATTCTTAATTCGATTCTCCATATTTAGGAACTACATATAATGTTTGTTACATCTATAAAGATTAAATTAATAATGTGTAATGAAGTTAACCATGTTGAAAATTACGTCAATAACATATAACAAGTATAGAGACTCATTCAAAGACTAAATTGAGAATGTATTATACGTGTAAGAACTAAATTATATATTTAACTAACTTTTCTCTCCTTATTAAAAAAAAAAAAAAAAAGTTGGACTCCTCCATCCCTTTAATGGAATAATTTTGTAGGAAATATGAGCTAACCTATTTATAAAAATCTATGTTTGTTGTTAATATATATATAAACAAAATCTCCTTTTATTATATAGTGATAGTATATATTGTTCTTTCTATAATACAGGAGTTGACATATTTTATCTGATGTCATGAAATGCTTTTAAATAATTTAATTCCAAGTAATGTTAATTCTATTCGAGCGCAGTATTTCTTTTGACAAAAATAAATAAATTATATAAGGTACGACCCATACAAAACGAGAATCAATAACTAGTTAAACATAGTATAATAAAGGCTTAAATATATTTTTAATCTCTTAAATTTAAGATAAATTTATTTTTTGTCTCTCAAATTTAAAATTAATATTTTTAGTCTCTGTAATTTTAAAAAATCTTATTTTATTTTTTATATTTAAATTTTGTTAAAAAATTTATCAAATATTATTACATAAAATTTATCTATTGGTGTCTTTAGTAGTAAAAATATCACATTAAATCTAATTAATATTACATAACCGTCTTAATTTGTTACTTTCAAGTATATATTATTGGTGATTTAAAAGACTAAAATAAGATTTTTGAAAATTATAGAACTAAAAATATCAATTTTAAATTTGAGAGACAAAAAATAAATTTATTTTAAATTTGAGAGATAAAAAACATTTAAAATATCATCACTTGTCAGTCATGAATACTGACCAAAATTGTATTTAATTAACTAATATTAACATATTTTCAGTGTCTTATTTAAAAAGTTGAAGGGAAAAAAAGAAAAAATAAAGCATGCGTGTAAATGTAATATATATATATATTGAAACTACAGTTACATAAAAGTTATTAAACAAGGTGACAACGTATTGATGTTAAACATTTGTTATAATCAGAGAAAATATTTAACCACAAATGACCATGATAAGTTATTTACTTTTATAACCAAAAAAATTATATTATTTGGACGGTAAATTGAAATGAACTAATGTTGATCTAAAATTGTTATCGTATTGAATATATGAACTTCATTTCTGATTGTATATGTAATATGGTGCAGGAGGTCAGAAAAGGAAAATATATATGGCAGCTGCTTCAGGAAAATGGAGTGAGGCTTTCGAAATCAATCCTGATTTGTTGGGAATTCCATTGACTTCTCGTGGAAATACAGCCCTTCACGTTGCAGTTAGCATGGATCAAACAAGTTTTGTTGAAAAGTTGGTGAATTGTATGAACATGCAAGATATCGAAATTTGCATGGCAGATGGGAACACAGCCTTTTGTTTGGCTGCGATTTCTGGAAACGTAAAAATAGCTGAAATACTGTTTGGCAAGAATCCAAAGTTGTTATGTATGAGAGGGCACAATGATATGCTGCCAATTCAATTAGCATCTTCTGCAGGGCATATTCCCATGACAGAATTTTTATTTCAAGCTACAGATGACCTACACAATATTCTACCCTTCCCAGACATCGTGAAGCTATTTTTCATGACCATCACCAACAACATTTTCAGTAAGCTCATTTTCACTTTTCTCTACACAGTCACGCTTTCATTTGATTTGTATATTTGTTATATATTCATCCATTTTTCTCTTGTCTAATGACATCATTTATATGTTTTTCATCTGATTCTGGGCATTAATTACAGCCGTTGCATCAAAATTGTTGGATAGCTATCCAAAATTGGTTACCATAGAAAATGAAGAGGGGTTGACTACTTTGCAAATGCTTGCTCAATTTTGTGAGTTCTCCTGATCCTTATAAATTTGGTTTTTCTACTTCAAAAATGTTATTTTTAATTAGGAATGAAAATAAGTATCACAGTTTCACATGGACATATGATACTTTCATAAGATTTCGACAAAATTATTTTTAAAAAATAAGTCGGACCAAAACTTTAATTAAAACCCCTACCAGGCCGACGTAAATTATCTTCTGTTATTTACGGTTGTTCCACCGCGTTTTTATAACGTCGGTCTTTACCCATTCCGACGTAATTTAGGAGACGTAAAAGCCACTTTTTCCACTAGTGATATGTTTTTTATTTCACAAGCTTCACAAAGTTTTTTAAAAAAAAAACTACAACTCTTGTTTTACCTTTCATTCATCCTTAAAGCTATCTAATTTTTGATTGCTAGTTCAAATGACAATCTCAACAAAAGTTGTCAATTTTACATGGAAATGTTAATATAACTCAATTACGTATTAGGTCAGATAGGTAGGGGCCATATTAATCCTTTACCTGTAATAGATTAGGGGTAAAGAGTTCTGGCTAGAGTGAAAACCATGAATAACAATTATGTTAAGGACATTTAGGCAATAGATTCCATGATTTCCTAAATTTTTTCAAAATCTTCTACATTTACCTATCACACTTTCACTCGCTATATAGATGTAAAATTAGATCCCATTGCAAAACAACAATTCCATAACTATAAAAATCTACCTTGGATGTTATAAGCAATTTAAAAACCCACTTGCATGTGTGCCAAGTATCCTTAAGTGGATGATTAGGCAACAATTTTAAACAAAGTGAGGGGAATGCAAAAATATATTTGTTAAAGTTACTCAGAATAGTTGAGTTACATATCCCAACCTCAAATTGGTATTTATACTAGAAATATGATTAGATAAATAAATGTATGTAAGCCCTTTTCCTTTAGTGTAATACATGGAAAAGGAATCACTTTGTCGACCAACAGATCTTCCCCCTTGTGCCTTCTGCAGTTCTGCTTATCACTATTCTTTTGGTGTTGGTTTCCCTGGTTTTTTGGTTTGTAACTATGAAACCTATGTGTTGAAAAAATGTGGTAATTCACACCCATCACACACTTGTTCTTTGGGCCATGTTGCAATCACTTTTTTACATATTGTCAAAAAGTTCAGCCTTAAATTTTTGGAAGGGATTCAAACTCCGCAAATGAAGGGGAAGTAAATGAAGGTCTGAACTTGACACTAATGCTCTGGAGTTAAATCATCATTTGCTTAATCACAATCAAATTAGAAATAGATCCTCTTGACCAAAACATGATAACCAAATTAAAAAATAAAGGCAGAAAATTGTTTTGGAGTTATATTATAAACAATCCTAATTAAACTAAAAATCATGCTCTATTTCTAAATTTTTCTAAAAAGAAGGTTGCCCATCTACGATGTACCGATACGATACGCGTATCAGATACGACACGTATCCGATACGGCGATACGCTTATTTTAAAATATATAGGATACGATACTTGTAAGATATGTGTTGTCATATATATCAATGTTCATACAACATAATAATTTTGTACTTGTAATTTTGATCAAAATTCATAAATATTAAATATATAATTACTATTTTGCAAATCCAAATTAAAAATATACTTATTGTACATTACTAAAAATAATTATAAACCATTTCATCATAAATTACTTTTTATTATTTACAAATGGAAATAATATTATCAAATTTCATTCCTTTCTTAAAATTATCTATGTAGAAGTAGAAGACAATTTTCATTTACAGTTTATCAAGGACCAATATTTCTATATTTCTATATTAAAAATGTTTATATATCTTATTTAGTTGTAAAGGATATTTCATAATTTTTCAAAAATTTGAATACTTTATCGATATGTATCACCGATAAGTATCGGTGAAAGTATCTGAGAGTATCGAGATTGAATAAAATTTTCATAATATTTTCAAAAGTTAGGATACTTCATTGACACGTATCGGTGAAGTATCCAAGAGTATCGTGTCGGATACGTATCGGATACGGATATGTGAAGCAAATTGAAGTATCGGTGCTTCAGACGCAAACTCATGGTGCGACATTAATTAATCTTCGTTCTAGTTTTACAAAATTATAGGTAAGTTTAGCTATTCGAATATTAATATCATCTGCTTTTCAGCTAAGCTTGTGTTAGGAGTTGTAATTCCAGTGTGTATTAATTAATTTGAGCCATAAAACTTTTGGCAGTGTTTGACTATAGCCTATATTCTAATGTGTAAAGGTGTATCTCTGTTTTTGTTTTCTTAACAAGGATATAAAAAGAGAATGATATAAACTGAAACAATTTTGTTTATTGACTGGTTTTAATGTGCATTTTCAGGTTCTGCAAAAATTTTGGGAGCAGAACGATAGTAAAGTTGTCATCAGGGCTTTAAGAAAGTTGCTTGCCCAATCTGTGCGTTGTTTTTATTAAGTGTCCATGTGTCATGTCACTAGTTGCCTCTCTGTTTATTCTGTATTAAAAGACTTTAACAAGTTATTTATGGTTTGTTATTGAATTTTTAGTTCCGAAAATTCTTTCTTCTGGATCTTGGTTCAAAACTGATGTTGTTAGTGTCCTTGTTGAGAAGACGAAGATTCTCACCTTAGATTCATTTTCTTGCTTACTTCCTGTGCTCATAGGTTTGCTTGATACAAGGAAGAAAGGTAATTATTTATAACACGATGTTTGGAAAATTCATGCTGGAAGTTGAAGTGTGTGGGACCTCATATTTGGCCTCATCTAGTGTGCGATTTATAATTTGTAGGGCATAACCTTACAAAAGTAGTTTAAGTTCTCATACATGTTTCTACATATGGCCTTGCATGTCTTTAGGATTTGGTGTTTAACTGAACCCAGTAGTGTCATGTGATCACGTAGCTGACCTCGGTGGGATTTACCGATTCATTGTTATTCGCACTAATATATGGTGGCATTTGCAAAAACAAAAAAATATATATGACCAAGTGGTTTTGGTAGACATTAACTCTGTTCTTAATGCGCAAACATGTAAAGGTGCCATTGGATATGCTGTTGTAGCTTGTAGTCTGTTTTGGTCCAACAATAAGATCAACTATTTCAATACCTCCCTTTATCGGCCTTGATCTTCATGCAAAGCAAAGGTGCCCTCCATCTTCACCTAATGGGGCTTTCTCTATCAAAATAGTAAAAAAAAATCACAAAGATAATATTTCATCATCTAAGTGTTATATATATGCATTAGAATATAGAAAGTGCTTCTTTTATGAAGCGTCATTCATGTATTATAAAATATAAAATAGAAAGCACTTGTTATAGGAGGTGCTCTCTAGATGTAGGTATGCAAATAACACTTTTTATCTTCAGGTCATTAGACAATTTTTTTTATTAACACTATTAATAGATAGCGTTTTAATAAAGAGTAATTTTTTTTAAGTGTTTTCTATTTGTAAAATAAGTGTCATCTATAAATAATTTTGGCGTAACGTTAGTTTATCCAAATTTTATTTGTATAAGATAATTTTATATTTTGGAGAAATTAATTTTTTTTGTGGTGACCTCAAAAGTTAGTTTTACCATCTATTATTTTTAAAAATTACAAAATCTTAATGTTTTAGCCTAAATTAGACTTTCGCTCACTCATAACTTGAGTTTTAGATCTCCTTTTTACGTAATTTCAACAACATTGGAAATCTAACATCTATAGTTACAATTCATATGAAGACCATAAAATATAATTATGATGTTATCATGCCCAACATAACAATTTTTGCGCCTGACGTAGAGAGGATAAAAACCATTATGTTGAACCTGCGTTCGACATGACTGATGTCATGCTCAACATGAAGCCTCGCAAAAATAACATCAAATAGCCCCTACTGTGGCCCACTAGACACCTAATGCGATACCAATTCATGAGGAATTTATAGACCGCGCGAAAACTGCACAATATGAATTCAAAACCCCTAAAACTCCATGCGAATAGATAAAAATCATGATTCGAACTTAATACTACTCTATTATACCATTAATTACTCAAAACCAATATCAATTACATACTTATAATATTTCCTCATACAATCATCCAAAATGCATTCCTTTAGGGTTCTTGCGAAAACCCATGAACAATACAAAATTCACAACATTAGTTTGATAAGCGAAATTAGTCGTACACATATATTCAATACATTCAAAAGAGCACTAAGGAAAACGAAATCACAACATAAGTCACAATTTAAGATTTTCTCTTTCATACAACAAATACAATAGAGAAGAGATTGAGTGTCAATTTTACTACCAAATAATCATCTCACGTTCAGAGCGAAATTATTCATCCCTCTTACCTCAATTCGATATAATCTCCCATGAACTCGGGTTCTTCTTTTTGTTTTTTTCAAAGCGTAAAAGATAAAAATGAGAAGTGTGAAAAAGAAAATTTTTATAACTCTTTTTATAAAACTTAACCTTTATTTGACCTTTTAGTAAAAAATTTTAATCATAATTTTTTTTCCTTTCCCTCAAATATTAAACCTTATAAATAAAATAGTACATCAAATAAACATATTTCTCCAAACTCTATTATAAATAAAATTAAGTATATAAATAATTATCATAAAATATATATTTTTCAAAATACATTTAATTACATAAATAATTAAAACATATATTTTCTCCAAATACTTTCTATAATAAAGAAGATTCACAAATCTTCTTTATTAATAAAACACTCATAATTATTAAAAATATTTAAAATATTTTATAAAAATCTCTTTAATTAATCGAAATATCATTTTAATAATTTTAGCAAATTTGGGAAATTAGAATTATAAGACCAAAATTTGGTATTTTTAAAAATAGAAAGATTAAATATCTTTATTTTAAAAAAAAATTAAAATTATAAATTAACAAAATAAAGAAGTTAAATGTGTAACTTAACCTTTATTTTTCAAGGAAAACTAAAGTGAGTTTGAGGCAGAAAGGAAATATGAGCGTGATACGATGCTTTAAAAGATTCGAACCATCTCCTTTAAATCAAATACATTTAGTTTAGTTGAACTCCAAAAAAAAAACCATATGTGGCCCATTAAGGTAAAGACCGTGGCCATTTGTTTCTTGGATCCATTAAAAGATCGTAAGCTACGATTGGCCCAATTAAATAGTTAGGCAGTTATTAAGTGGATGTCTAGTCTCTTTCTAAAATCCAACATTTTATTGGACCCAAAAGAAAACAAAAACAAAAAGAATAACAATCACAGACCAAGAAATTTTCAATATTTTTTAAGAGATAGAAAAACTCTTAAAACTATAAAGATAAGTAACGGTTTGACGATTTTATCTTCAGATCAAATTAACAATCATACCAAAAACATGATATCACTTAATTCTCAGATCACATTCATCCTCTATTTGGTTTGAGTTACGGGAAAAATGAGAATGTGAAAATAATATATTGCTATTTTAATATAATTAATATTCATCTTTTTTTTTTTCTTCTAACTATTAAACATCTCACTTATTTCTTTTAATTAATGTTATTTTAATTTAAAAATAATTAATACATAAAGTTGTACATAATGAGTTTTATATAAAAAAGAAAACTATTATTATAATTCGAATCATAAGTCTTATAATTGGTGTAAAGGAAAAGTCTTATAACTAAAAACGAAAATAGTATTTGTTTTATCAAATACGTGACAAAAAATTTAGGTTTTTAAACTAGTAATTAATATTTTTAAAATATAAAATATTAAAAATTTGTTTTTTTTTTAAATTTAAAAGTATATTTAACTCACGAACAAATAATATTATATTAGTATTTTAGTCTATATAATACGTAAAATAACTGTTTTATTTATTTAACACAAATGAATAACATGATTTCATTGAGATAATTTTTAAAAGTTATTATATTTTTTATTTATAAAAATTATAATGATAATATTAAAATTTGAACATAAGAGTCTGTATTTTACATATTATTTCAATCTTTACTATTGGTTTAGTTATTATACTTTTATTTGACCATATATTTTATCTTAATTTTCTTTTTGGCTTAAACATGTTTTAGTCCTATAAAATAAATAGATTATGATTTTTTTATAATATTATGTATATATATATATATGTTTTTATATTATTATATATATATATATATATATATATATATATATATATATTATTTTTTTTCATCCTTAATTGGGAACACTATTTTTGGTGTTTGTAAAATATTTTTGGTCCTTATAACAAGAACAAATTTTGGTTCCAATATTTATAAAAAAAAATCTTTTTTATTTATAATGATGAATTTTGGATAAATAAATAACATTTATTTAAAAAATTTATAAACTTTTTTTAGATAACTCAACATAATATCATTAACAATGGTAAATAACACAGCCTTTTAATAAAAAAAATAGTTAAAAAATAATAATATAATAGAGACTAAAAATAACATTTATAATTTTAAAGAATAAAAAATAATATATTTTTTTCAATATCTCAAAATCAAAACTTGTACATTTTTCAAGAATTAAAATCATATTTAAACTTCTATTTTTTCATTCCTTTATAACACACATTTTTAAAATCAAATTTAAAGCAAATATTATATATATCTCCTCTTCCTAATAGATAAGCCCATCCTTCTTTTTAAAAAAAAAAAATTCTTAAATTCACTTTTAATTTATTTTGTTTTTAAAAAATATTTTTCATTCACGTCTCTTATTTCACTCATTTTCTTTTCCTACTGTATCCCTCTTTATATGCCTCCCATTTTCTTTTTAATATTTTATTTCTTTTTTTTTTCTCTAACAAATAAAACACTTATTGATTCATCTTTATTAATTTTAAAACCAATTTATTTACACTCTTAATTTCAATATTTTTTAAACTCTATTTTTACACTCTATCTTTAATATTATA